TACTTTTGCTATAACAATCTCTACTTCCTTTGTATTTGTTGGACAAATAAAGGAATTCTGATTCTGATAATTCCAGCATCCTTTTTTATTTCACACGCCAGGCCAGGTGGTGGCGGTGGCGGTGATTCCTCTGGACACTGGGCTTCCACCATGGCTTCCACCCGCCAATAAACACCAAAGAAAAAGTCGAGGACATGTTAAGCTAGTAGCTGAACCGGACGGCGTGTTTTCTGCTCCACACATTTGTCGAACTGCAGCTACGAAAAGGTGAGCCAACGTTACATACCATATATATATATATATTTATATATATATATATTTATCTCTCCATCTATATCTATCTCCTGTGTTTATTCCATTGTTGTTACATGTGATAGTGATTAGTATGTGGATGGGCTAAATATTTTCCCCGTCGTGGTAAATGCTAAATATGTATGCTATCACAACTACATTGTGCTAACAGCTAATGTTTGCACGGCTATTTGTGGGGGTTGGGAATCCCGTGAACGTTACTATTTGGTGGACAAATTACACTAAACCTGATCAATGCGACCTGATTGTGTAAATCACGCAGATACTCGTCTTGATCTATCCAAAGGGGTGAAAATATGAGTAACTATACCCCGGTGGTTGTTACGCACAAGCTAGCAAATCACAAATGCTAGTGGTTGCTAGCTAGCGCTAGCTAGCATCAGCTTGATAATGTGCAGTCGACGTTAACATTTAAGTAGAATGATAAAATACACGATGGCGTCCACTTTATGCAAGTGATTAAAAGGGTCAACAGCACGGGGTGTTTTAATTTTGTGATTTTAAATATAGTTGGACTCATGTCGTTGTTTTAGAAAATCACAAGCATTTCCTAATGCTCTCGATGTTATCCCCATAACGTTAGTCAATCACTGATACCAAGATGTCCAGGTATGTCGTTGTAACACTTTTTGTCTTTCTTTTCAGGCACATCTGATTGTTTGACTGTAAAAAGAAGATCAGATTTAAATCTGGTGAAATGAGTAAGTTGTGATTATTTTCTACTGAGTTTCTGGTGCTACTTTTGGCTCCAATTTATTTCACTACCGGGTGTTTGTTTCCACAGTGACATTCTTTAGATGAGATTACATTGCCACCTACATCTGGACACATCCAGCTCCATTATTAGTTAAGGGACTGGATGACTGCCCATGCAGGAGTTATTCTCATAACAAATATGGCATTTTGTGTGTGAAATAAACACCCTCAGATAAAGCTTTACTCTTATTTGAATTTTATATTTTAACTTAACAGTTTGCATTTACTGGACAGGACATTAATGCTTTTGTATTTGTTTTATTTATATCTGCACTATATATATGCATTAAGCATTTGACACCAAAATAAGAGTTAATATTAAATAATTGTTTATGGAATTGTATTAAAGCTGAGGTACACTCACTGTCTATACTTCTTACAAGTCTGAACGCTCATCCTATGTTTTGCCCTTTCTTTTAGGCCAAAGTGACCAGTTTCCCCTTGACTGCAAGGTTTATGTTGGGAATCTAGGAAACAATGGAAACAAGACAGAGTTGGAAAGTTCCTTTGGGTACTATGGCCCTTTAAGAAGTGTTTGGGTCGCTAGGAATCCCCCAGGCTTTGCTTTTGTAGAGTTTGAAGACCCCAGAGATGCATCCGATGCTGTGAAAGAACTGGATGGAAGGTAAATCCTTTAACACAGTTTTCAGTTGTACTTTTTGCATTACATGTTAGAATTTCTCACTCGTGTGATTTTTTTCTTTAGAACTATGTGTGGCTGCCGAGTGCGTGTCGAGTTATCCAATGGGGAAAAGCGCTCAAGGAGCCGTGGCCATCCTCCGTCCCATGGCGGTAGCAGACGCCCTCGAGATGATTTTAGACGACGTAGTCCTCCAGTCAGACGCAGGTATGGTTTTTCTTTTGGACCACTTTACTCTTTTATTTACTGTCTCATTTGCAGCGTTTTATTTTTTAAACAACTGAAAAGGCATATTTACATTCCCAACACACTGTAACCATTATTTTTTTTACCTCCCACACTGACAAATAATCATATCTTTATATCATAGACCAATTAAAGCGTAGTCAATCTTTTTAAGCCAAAACCAAGTAGGGGTAAGTTTCTGATCATTTGTCATAATGGCCTAAATGTTATCGTTAGCACTCTTAGTGCTTTAAATCATGTAGTTTACATACAAAATGAGTTCATAAATAGATAATCTGTGAATTGGCCTGCTTCAGGATTTAACATACTGATGTTGCTTTTTAGGTGTTCAAAAACAAATCTACACTAGTGATGCTTTTAAAAGAAATTGTTGCAAAAATATTTTTGTCTTTGCCAGTTTTGCCTAGTTTGACATCCAACTCCAAATGCAGCCTATGTCAGCACTTGACTATTTATGAACTCTAATAATGGGTTGTCTTATAAAAGACCAAGCTCTAACAGAGTGATATTGCTTCAAGGGGCATAGTTTGCACTCCATCAAACATTTTCATAGGTACTTTCTAGAATTACTTTCTTGCAGGTTTACATTTTGTTTTCTTTCTGAGTTCAGTTGCCATATATTAATAAAACTGAACCCCGTTACAGAGTCACCACCACGCTTCTCACCATCTGAGTCAGTCAACTAGTCTTCTTTCAGCATCATGTGACTGCTGACCAGGGAGCCCCAATCAGCTTGGGTGGTGTTGTCACATGACCAAGGCGCACCGCCAGTCGTCAGGTTCCACCAACCTATTGGTTCCTGAGCATGCAGCTCCCAGCATCCTCCTCTTCTTCCTCCAACCTTAATCCAATCGACAGCGGCCCACTTCACATTATCAACCAATCAGCATCTTTACTCTCTATTTGCCACACAACTACTGTATCAACGGGAACAGCCCATGGCTTACATCCCTTCCCATCATCCCCCCCAAAAAAGGCAGGGAAAATCTACAACTACCCCTTCCAACCAGCCACCAAGCAACTTCATATCTCCAACATTTGCATCATGTGGCAAATCCTCTCTGCAATTCGACTTCCCTCACCATCAGTCTGGCTTCCTTGCGTCATTTCTATCTTGTCCAATTCCCCCAAAATAGTAAGTTGCTTTTAATCCTGCTCTTTGTAGTTTTTATGCTTACTCTAACTTTCAAAGGTGCTTGACCGTTTGCCCTCAGCAGTTATGTAACTTAGAGCAAGATCAGTCCAGAGCTGCAAAAATCTACAGATCAAAAGTTGTGGTCAAGGAACTTTGTCATCAGTCTTTAACTTATATTTGCCGATATTAACTACAGTTATTAGAGGTTCACCATATAATTGGGCTACCAAGGGCATTTTCATGGCTCGACATTAAACCACTACCTTTTTTTTAGGTAAATGTTCCCCCCTTTTTTCCATGAAAATATCCACGCTCCTAGTGTGCTCCAGTGTCTTAATAGAAAAACAAAAACACTTTTAATGGGTTTTTTTTTAACTAAAAATGAAAATGACCCGTCTCTGTTCAGGTCCCGTGTGGACCCTCGGAGGTCATTGTGCACAAGCTGTGTGGTGGAAACACAAATCAATAGCAACAGACAGACCATTGTTAAATTGTGACATATTATTTGTTTATTTCAAAGGAAAGCTTTAATGTCGAGCCCTGGCTTTGTTCTGAAATCTGGCCCCCCTATTGGTGCTCATTTGACAAAGATTCCTTCTTTATCAAGTTGATCTTGATGCAGTTCATGGATGCAGATGATCCTTCTATTAACAGACAAGGAACTACGTGTAACCACGTCTAATCCGTGTCTAAGGATCAAGAATACCAAAGGTTTCACTAGAAAAAATCTCTTCCCTAATGTTTTTTTGCTTCATTTTTTACTTCACATACACTATAGGAGGAGGAGCCGCAGTCGCAGCAGGTAAGCAAGCAACTACAGTTTTATTTACACTCTGCTTTTGTTAATAATCAATGATAATCATATTCATTTTTGTTATGCTTTGTTGCATCAGGTCTCTTTCAAGAGATAGAGGCAGACAGCGCTCTGTGTCCAGAGACAACAAGAAGGGCCCAAGATCAATCTCCCGGTCAAGGAGGCAAGTTAAAAAATATCACTATACTTATTACTTTGTACTTTTGAGACTCATTTTGTTAACTTGTTTGTTTGTTTTACAGTCGTTCCAGGTCTAACGACAGAAAATGAGGACCCCAAGGCGATGGTTCGTGTGCGGGATCTAGCTATGGTTGGGGAAAATACCAATTTTTATAGTCATGTCTTTCTTTTCTCTAGGGTTGGCCAAGTTACTTATTGTGTAATACCAGTCTGTTGAATTAACAACAGTCTGATGTCTTTTTCTCCTAAAGCGAATTCTCTTCCCCCGCATGTTATGGAATACTGGATTTAGTTTTTACATTGCCATCCTGTTTTTTAACTGTTGAATTAAAACTCATGTGATGTTTTTATTTGTTTTTGTTTCCTTTTTTTATTCTTGGTTGACTCTTTAATTACTGGCAATGGGTTAATGTGAGACATACCATTAGAGGGGCTTATGTTATGACAGAAATCAGACTGGCAACAAAATGTTAAATACTGGTGCTGTTATTTGCAGGCTATCCTTGAAGCCAAAAACATAATCTGTAATTCTGTATTTTACTTGTCATTTTTGCAACAAAATGCTCTATTCAACTTTGCTTGACTCTTGACAATTTCTGCTGCAGTTAAGAAAATGTGTTCAATAAATGGTTTTCCAAGGTGAAGCCTATTTCTTCGTTGCCTTTTTTTGTTTGGAAGTATTATATTAAACTAACCATGTACCATAATCAAATGACATTTGGCAAATGTAAAAATATAAGCTTTATTCAGATCAGGAACTACCGTTTCTGTTGCCTTATGGCATGCTGCAAGTGCAACCCACACAGGAAGTTCTCTGTCATGGCGGCCACAAAGGAACAACCCACACCCCCCCCCCCCCCCAACGAGTGAAATATATTAACTGTGCAGCATACACTCTTGACTTTACAAAGCAGCTCGTGTTGAGAGACGACAGGTGCCAGATTTGGGTGGTGAGTACATGTGGCGTCATGACAATGAAGTAGATTGAGGTTATTGATCAAAATAAACAAATGCAATTTATTTCTGCAGATTTTCTGTTTAAAATAAACTAATTGGCTGTTTGAATTATGGTAGTTAAGATCCTAAATCAATATGCATTTTGATGACCTTGTTCATCTTTAAGGGTATATATGTTGATATACTGACAATTTGCATGTCTAAATGTTTCATGATTTTAAGAGGGAAGAAAGGAAGGTATGTCTGCTCAAAGCGCAAAGAAGAAAAGGCTTGGCTCACGCCGCAGAGGATTAAACCAAAATGAAAAAACTAAGGCTGATGAGTTCCAAATAACGGACAGTACCTCTGAAGATCAACGCCACTTGACCGTAGATGATACTGAATCATTGAAAGTATTAGCTGAACCTGATAATTCACTATATGAAACTCAGAGTCCATCTGCATTTTCAGGTAACAGAAGGAAACTGGGGTCTAGTCGCAAAAATAAAGGACACCATGAAACTGAATCTTGCCATGAAACTAAAGAGGAAGTTAAGGAAACCATTGCAACAAAACAAATGTCACTTACAATGCAACATGTCACAGAGGAAGTATTGATTCAAGAGAGTGACAATATGTCTGCAACACATGAGAGTTATCTTTATTCAGATTCCGAACATGATTATTTTCCTGAACTTCAGAATGCTACTGTAACAAACTATCCAGAGGCTGACCTGGACAGTGTTATTCCCAAAAGCGAAAATCTGCAAACACGCCTTTATGAAAATGTGACAAACTCTAAAATTGTATCAGACTCCTTTACATTTGTGCAAACCATGGAGGAAAGAGTGAACACATCTGAAACTCTTTACTGCGAGGAAGACAAGGAAAGTGCACACTGTGTAAGCAACTCTGAGTTAACAAGGTTAAGTCTTGCTTCACTTCCAAGTGTAGATCACACAAATGTTAGGGAAATGTCAGAACAAAAGCTTCCTGATGTGTGTACTGAAAGAGAAAAAGAATGCAAAGAAATAGATGATGAGACAGAGTTGTTAAGGAAGGATGGAAACTCACAGGGCAATTATTTGGTTAGTGAGTCTGTAGTTTTGCCATTTGCCACCACACCCGAGATAACCACAGAAGAAACCATTCGAAGAGAAAATACTGAAAATGAGTCCGATGATGAGCCAGCTACAATGTCATCACCAAAAGAGAAAATGCTTACAGATGAGGAACAAAAGCCAACTGAAATTGAAGATCTGCCGCAACAAGATAATACATCTGTCAGTGTGATTCATGCTGCCACAGAAGAGTCTGAAATAATTTCTTGTAACCCAATGGACCCATATGAAATCAGAGACACAAACCAATGTGAGAATGTTGTGAAAATAACTTATGATTCTCCTACCTATCAGGACATTTCAATTCCTGACAACAAGCAGGATGAGTATCTTAATGAAGAAAGCATTTTTGAGGATTTAGAGCAGAAAAATGAGGATCATTATTTCTATGATACCAAGGAACCACCGATCAGCGACATTGAAGGAGTAGACTCTGCTCTAGGTCAGGTGAAGGAGATTGAAGGCCAAGTACAGTATGCTATGAAACCCAGTGCTGAACCAAAGGGTCATGAGGAAGGACTTTTCTCTGAAATGGAGGAGGGTGAATCCTCTTCACAAGCTGTGCAATCAGGAATAACTGTGACTTCTGACTCCCAACCACAACAAAACATTGACTTTAACCCCATTGGGAACAGAAGAAAACTGGGGTCTAGCCGTAGAAATAAAGGAAGACAGCATGTCAAGGACTCTGTTGCTGAATTGTACCATGAACCTGCAGGGGAAGATTCTGGAAACACCAGGGAAAATACATCTCTTGAAACAGAATTGTCATTACCAATAGAGCCAGTAGTGCAGGAACAAATGAAGGAAACCATGTTGAAGGGAATGGAAATATTTGACACTGCTCCAACTGAATATGTTGGTGAGCTTGTTAAAGAAAATTCACTTGTTGGCATCTCTGAGCTTACTGGTTCAAATGTACATGCACATTTAAGAGAAGATCAAAAGACAAATGTCCAATCAAATGTTGGGGAGATGCCAGAGGAAGAATTCCCAAATGTTTGTACCGTAACAGAAAAGAAAGCATGGCAAAGGACAATGTCACAGAAATGTTCAGGCACGCTGAAAATGTACAGACCAACTATTTGATGAGTGAGTCTCAGATGACAACAGAAAATAATGAGTCCTCTATCACATCAGAGATAACCACAGAAGAACAAGACCTCAGAGAGAACTCAGAACCTGAATGCAGTGTTGAACAAGAAGCATTTGCATCAAAAGAGGAGTCTACAACAAATGAGGAAACACATGAGTTGTTCAATGTATCTGAAGTCAAAGGTGCTCATCAGTCAGATGATGGTGATAACAAATTCCATGAACAGGAGGGTAAGCCAACAGAAATTCAAGAAATACCTCAAATAGATTTCTCATCTGACCATGCGATTCACGCTGCCACAGAAAATTCTCAAATAATGTCTGGTAACACAATGGACCAAGCTGAAATCAGAGAGACAAACCCATTTGAGATGGTTGTGAAAATACCTGATGATTCTCCTACCAGTCAGAAAATGTCAGTTCCTGACAACAAGCAGGATGAGTATCTTAATGAAGAAAGCATTTTTGAGGATTTAGAGCAGAAAAATGAGGATCATCATTTCTATGATACCAAGGAACCACCGATCAGCTACATTGAAGGAGTAGACTCTGCTCTAGGTCAGGTGAAGGAGATTGAAGGCCAAGTACAGTATGCTATGAAACCCAGTGCTGAACCAAAGGGTCATGAGGAAGGACTTTTCTCTGAAATGGAGGAGGGTGAATCCTCTTCACAAGCTGTGCAATCAGGAATAACTGTGACTTCTGACTCCCAACCACAACAAAACATTGACTTTAACCCCATTGGGAACAGAAGAAAACTGGGGTCTAGCCGTAGAAATAAAGGAAGACAGCATGTCAAGGACTCTGTTGCTGAATTGTACCATGAACCTGCAGGGGAAGATTCTGGAAACACCAGGGAAAATACATCTCTTGAAACAGAATTGTCATTACCAATAGAGCCAGTAGTGCAGGAACAAACGAAGGAAACCATGTTGAAGGGAATGGAAATATTTGACACTGCTCCAACTGAATATGTTGGTGAGCTTGTTAAAGAAAATTCACTTGTTGGCATCTCTGAGCTTACTGGTTCAAATGTACATGCACATTTAAGAGAAGATCAAAAGACAAATGTCCAATCAAATGTTGGGGAGATGCCAGAGGAAGAATTCCCAAATGTTTGTACCGTAACAGAAAAAGAAAGCATGGCAAAGGACAATGTCACAGAAATGTTCAGGCACGCTGAAAATGTACAGACCAACTATTTGATGAGTGAGTCTCAGATGACAACAGAAAATAATGAGTCCTCTATCACATCAGAGATAACCACAGAAGAACAAGACCTCAGAGAGAACTCAGAACCTGAATGCAGTGTTGAACAAGAAGCATTTGCATCAAAAGAGGAGTCTACAACAAATGAGGAAACACATGAGTTGTTCAATGTATCTGAAGTCAAAGGTGCTCATCAGTCAGATGATGGTGATAACAAATTCCATGAACAGGAGGGTAAGCCAACAGAAATTCAAGAAATACCTCAAATAGATTTCTCATCTGACCATGCGATTCACGCTGCCACAGAAAATTCTCAAATAATGTCTGGTAACACAATGGACCAAGCTGAAATCAGAGAGACAAACCCATTTGAGATGGTTGTGAAAATACCTGATGATTCTCCTACCAGTCAGAAAATGTCAGTTCCTGACAACAAGCAGGATGAGTATCTTAATGAAGAAAGCATTTTTGAGGATTTAGAGCAGAAAAATGAGGATCATCATTTCTATGATACCAAGGAACCACCGATCAGCTACATTGAAGGAGTAGACTCTGCTCTAGGTCAGGTGAAGGAGATTGAAGGCCAAGTACAGTATGCTATGAAACCCAGTGCTGAACCAAAGGGTCATGAGGAAGGACTTTTCTCTGAAATGGAGGAGGGTGAATCCTCTTCACAAGCTGTGCAATCAGGAATAACTGTGACTTCTGACTCCCAACCACAACAAAACATTGACTTTAACCCCATTGGGAACAGAAGAAAACTGGGGTCTAGCCGTAGAAATAAAGGAAGACAGCATGTCAAGGATTCTGTTGCTGAATCGTACCATGAACCTGCAGGGGAAGATTCTGGAAACACCAGGGAAAATACATCTCTTGAAACAGAATTGTCATTACCAATAGAGCCAGTAGTGCAGGAACAAACGAAGGAAACCATGTTGAAGGGAATGGAAATATTTGACACTGCTCCAACTGAATATGTTGGTGAGCTTGTTAAAGAAAATTCACTTGTTGGCATCTCTGAGCTTACTGGTTCAAATGTACATGCACATTTGAGAGAAGATCAAAAGACAAATGTCCAATCAAATGTTGGGGAGATGCCAGAGGAAGAATTCCCAAATGTTTGTACCGTAACAGAAAAAGAAAGCATGGCAAAGGACAATGTCACAGAAATGTTCAGGCACGCTGAAAATGTACAGACCAACTATTTGATGAGTGAGTCTCAGATAACAACAGAAAATAATGAGTCCTCTATCACATCAGAGATAACCACAGAAGAACAAGACCTCAGAGAGAACTCAGAACCTGAATGCAGTGTTGAACAAAAAGCATTTGCATCATCAAAAGAGGAGTCTACAACAAATGAGGAAACACATGAGTTGTTCAATGTATCTGAAGTCAAAGGTGCTCATCAGTCAGATGATGGTGATAACAAACTCCATGAACAGGAGGGTAAGCCAACAGAAATTCAAGAAATACCTCAAATAGATTTCTCATCTGACCATGCGATTCACGCTGCCACAGAAAATTCTCAAATAATGTCTGGTAACACAATGGACCAAGCTGAAATCAGAGAGACAAACCCATTTGAGATGGTTGTGAAAATACCTGATGATTCTCCTACCAGTCAGAAAATGTCAGTTCCTGACAACAAGCAGGATGAGTATCTTAATGAAGAAAGCATTTTTGAGGATTTAGAGCAGAAAAATGAGGATCATCATTTATATGCTACCAAGGAACCACCGATCAGCTACATTGAAGGAGTAGACTCTGCTCTAGGTCAGGTGAAGGAGATTGAAGGCCAAGTACAGTATGCTATGAAACCCAGTGCTGAACCAAAGGGTCATGAGGAAGAACTTTTCTCTGAAATGGAGGAGGGTGAATCCTCTTCACAAGCTGTGCAATCAGGAATAACTGTGACTTCTGACTCCCAACCACAACAAAACATTGACTTTAACCCCATTGGGAACAGAAGAAAACTGGGGTCTAGCCGTAGAAATAAAGGAAGACAGCATGTCAAGGACTCTGTTGCTGAATTGTACCATGAACCTGCAGGGGAAGATTCTGGAAACACCAGGGAAAATACATCTCTTGAAACAGAATTGTCATTACCAATAGAGCCAGTAGTGCAGGAACAAACAAAGGAAATCATGTTGATGGAAATTGAAATATTTGACACTGCTCCAACTGATGTTGGTGAGCTTGTTAAAGAAAATTCACTTGTTGGCATCTCTGAGCTTACTGGTTCAAATGTACATGCACATTTGAGAGAAGATCAAAAGACAAATGTCCAATCAAATGTTGGGGAGATGCCTGAGGAAGAATTCCCAAATGTTTGTACCGTAACAGAAAAAGAAAGCATGGCAAAGGACAATGTCACAGAAATGTTCAGGCACGCTGAAAATGTACAGACCAACTATTTGATGAGTGAGTCTCAGATAACAACAGAAAATAATGAGTCCTCTATCACATCAGAGATAACCACAGAAGAACAAGACCTCAGAGAGAACTCAGAACCTGAATGCAGTGTTGAACAAAAAGCATTTGCATCATCAAAAGAGGAGTCTACAACAAATGAGGAAACACATGAGTTGTTCAATGTATCTGAAGTCAAAGGTGCTCATCAGTCAGATGATGGTGATAACAAACTCCATGAACAGGAGGGTAAGCCAACAGAAATTCAAGAAATACCTCAAATAGATTTCTCATCTGACCATGCGATTCACGCTGCCACAGAAAATTCTCAAATAATTTCTGGTAACACAATGGACCAAGCTGAAATCAGAGAGACAAACCCATTTGAGATGGTTGTGAAAATACCTGATGATTCTCCTACCAGTCAGAAAATGTCAGTTCCTGACAACAAGCAGGATGAGTATCTTAATGAAGAAAGCATTTTTGAGGATTTAGAGCAGAAAAATGAGGATCATCATTTCTATGATACCAAGGAACCACCGATCAGCTACATTGAAGGAGTAGACTCTGCTCTAGGTCAGGTGAAGGAGATTGAAGGCCAAGTACAGTATGCTATGAAACCCAGTGCTGAACCAAAGGGTCATGAGGAAGGACTTTTCTCTGAAATGGAGGAGGGTGAATCCTCTTCACAAGCTGTACAATCAGGAATAACTGTGACTTCTGACTCCCAACCACAACAAAACATTGACTTTAACCCCATTGGGAACAGAAGAAAACTGGGGTCTAGCCGTAGAAATAAAGGAAGACAGCATGTCAAGGATTCTGTTGCTGAATCGTACCATGAACCTGCAGGGGAAGATTCTGGAAACACCAGGGAAAATACATCTCTTGAAACAGAATTGTCATTACCAATAGAGCCAGTAGTGCAGGAACAAACGAAGGAAACCATGTTGAAGGGAATGGAAATATTTGACACTGCTCCAACTGAATATGTTGGTGAGCTTGTTAAAGAAAATTCACTTGTTGGCATCTCTGAGCTTACTGGTTCAAATGTACATGCACATTTAAGAGAAGATCAAAAGACAAATGTCCAATCAAATGTTGGGGAGATGCCAGAGGAAGAATTCCCAAATGTTTGTACCGTAACAGAAAAAGAAAGCATGGCAAAGGACAATGTCACAGAAATGTTCAGGCACGCTGAAAATGTACAGACCAACTATTTGATGAGTGAGTCTCAGATAACAACAGAAAATAATGAGTCCTCTATCACATCAGAGATAACCACAGAAGAACAAGACCTCAGAGAGAACTCAGAAGCTGAATGCAGTGTTGAACAAAAAGCATTTGCATCATCAAAAGAGGAGTCTACAACAAATGAGGAAACACATGAGTTGTTCAATGTATCTGAAGTCAAAGGTGCTCATCAGTCAGATGATGGTGATAACAAACTCCATGAACAGGAGGGTAAGCCAACAGAAATTCAAGAAATACCTCAAATAGATTTCTCATCTGACCATGCGATTCACGCTGCCACAGAAAATTCTCAAATAATTTCTGGTAACACAATGGACCAAGCTGAAATCAGAGAGACAAACCCATTTGAGATGGTTGTGAAAATACCTGATGATTATCCTACCAGTCAGAAAATGTCAGTTCCTGACAACAAGCAGGATGAGTATCTTAATGAAGAAAGCATTTTTGAGGATTTAGAGCAGAAAAAGGAGGATCATCATTTATATGCTACCAAGGAACCACCGATCAGCTACATTGAAGGAGTAGACTCTGCTCTAGGTCAGGTGAAGGAGATTGAAGGCCAAGTACAGTATGCTATGAAACCCAGTGCTGAACCAAAGGGTCATGAGGAAGAACTTTTCTCTGAAATGGAGGAGGGTGAATCCTCTTCACAAGCTGTGCAATCAGGAATAACTGTGACTTCTGACTCCCAACCACAACAAAACATTGACTTTAACCCCATTGGGAACAGAAGAAAACTGGGGTCTAGCCGTAGAAATAAAGGAAGACAGCATGTCAAGGACTCTGTTGCTGAATTGTACCATGAACCTGCAGGGGAAGATTCTGGAAACACCAGGGAAAATACATCTCTTGAAATAGAATTGTCATTACCAATAGAGCCAGTAGTGCAGGAACAAACGAAGGAAATCATGTTGATGGGAATTGAAATATTTGACACTGCTCCAACTGATGTTGGTGAGCTTGTTAAAGAAAATTCACTTGTTGGCATCTCTGAGCTTACTGGTTCAAATGTACATGCACGTTTAACAGAAGATCAAAAGACAAATGTCCAATCAAATGTTGGGGAGATGCCAGAGGAAGAATTCCCAAATGTTTGTACTGTAACAGAAAAAGAAAGCAAGGAAAATGACAATGACACAGAATTGTTCAGGCACACTGAAAATGTACAGACCAACTATTTGATGAGTGAGTCTCCGATAACATCCGAAAATAATGAGTCCTCTATCACATCAGAGATAACCACAGAAGAACAAGACCTCAGAGAGAACTCAGAACCTGAATGCACCACAAACCCCACAGGGAACAGACGAAAATTTGGATCAAGCAGAAGAAACAAAGGACCACTGCACATCAAGGACACTACAAGAATGTCATTAGTAACAGAGACAATAAAGCAGGAAGAATTAAAAAAAAAGTCCGACCTAGACTTAAGTTCAAACGTAAGTGACGAAGAAAACACAGACATTTTCTTAGAGGAAGGCATCATTTTGTCACAGAATGAGAAGGACAACAGTGCAATTATGAAAACAGACATTCATTTAAGCCCTAGCAATGATGTATTCGTCAAGGATGTTGATGAGGAAAAAAATAAACAAAAGAAAGAGACTGAAAATGTATGCCAGCTTGGAGGACATTACACAGTTAAAACAGACTCGCAACCACCAGAAGTCTCAGTTTGGAAAGCTGATTCAGACATACAAACTATCTCATATCATGGGGACAATGTCTCCTCACGACCAATTGCTTTTGATGTTCTTGAGCAAGAAGAGACTTTTCAATTCCAAAGCTCTGAAGCTTTATCTTTTGACAAAGACTTTAATGATCAACAGACAAATGATACATCACCAACTGTGGGCGATGTCACAGTAAAATACTTTAAATCAGGACCGGAGAGTTCAATGTATATGCAAGTTTCTAACCAGGATGCAGATGGAGAACAATCAGAGGATCCTTTGAAGTCGGAACACAAAGCCCAAGAAATTAATATTTCAGAAAAGATTACAAAGAACGTATCAGACAGCTTGGCTCCATTTCACACAGGTCTTAAGGAAAACTTCAGAGCAGAGCCAGATATGTTTGAGGAAAGTAACATTTCCAGCCATCTAAAGGAACAAGAAGAATCTCATTCAGACAACAGTGAAAATGTGCAGGGAACATCGAAACAGAAGAGGAGAAAGATGGGCTCTACTCGCCGGTCTCAACTCAATAGGAAACCAGAGGAAAAGAGGGATGAAAGAGAAAGTGACTTTAAAACAGAAGCTGACATGAGACATCTTGAAAAGATAGAAGGACTGGAAGAGTTACATATGCTTATGACTGCAGAGGTATCACAGAGTGAACATGCAAAAGCATCACATAGTCCTATGAATAAAGAACAAGAAGCCAATGAAACCAGCACAGTGCACAACAACAGACAAAACATACCAAGCTCTGACTTGCAAGTTGTTAATCCTGCTATATTTGTTCATGTAGCTGATGAAAGGGAGAGTGAGAGGAATTTAAATGTTTGTGTGGAACCACCACGGATAGATGATTTTACAACCACTGAGAGGCAAATCCCCAGTCCTTTACTGTCTGAAAATACTGAAGAGAATAGAAACACAGTTATCATAGGAGAGAGCTTTGTGTCTTTCTGTGAGATCACACAGAGTATGCAAAATGATGAGGAAAGTGTAAGCATAATTGAGGACCAAACTTTGAAATCAGCCGAAGCGCCTGTTGTGGCAGATTTGGAAATATTGACATATGTGGTAAGAGAAGGAGCAGAACATGAACATATCAGTGCCCAGTTTAGTAAACAACAGTTGGACAACCCCACTGAAGTAGTTCACGATACAAATATCGAGATGAAGAATCCAAGTCCAAATAGGAGGAAAAAGATGGGCTCAACCCGCAGGAATTTTGGATCAAGACACAAAAGGGAAGACTTGCATCAAGAACAGGATGTGGATGATGAAGCAACAGAGACTGCATCCAATGTTGGAGATGTAAAGACTGAACTTTTCTCCAACATCACAGAAGATGAGCTTCAGCTTAACTTAAAACACAAAGACACGGGCTCTGAGCAAAGGAAAGAAAATGTATTTGAAACAGTGGAGTACAGCCAGATTGGTGACTCTCACATTAAACCTCACCAGCCATTGGAAGATAATCCTGTTCCTCCTGGTCAACTCATAGAAACAGAGCATCAACGTACTCCCAATTCTCTTGCTGCAATACCTTCCACTTCCCCAAAAGAAGATTTAATGTCAGAAACAGCTTCTGGTGGGAGAAGAAGAAAAATGGGATCCAGCAGGAAGTCACATGGACTCAAAAGATATGAAAATCAAACCGCAAGTGGAGACAAAATACAAGATACACAACATGAGAGAGATGTCAGAAGTAATACAGATGAAAGTGCCATCAATACACCTGAAGAGCTGAGAGAAGAATCTTTGAGCCTGGTCCAAATATCAGAGGTAAGCAGCAGAGTCATTTTTATCTTTAGCTTTGAGTGTTTACAAGTTATCATCCGTTCCTTAGTGTACTTTCTAAACATTGCATTATCATGTATTTTTTTTACGTTGGGCCTTTATCTTGAAGTGAATTAATGGACATTTGTTATTTGGCACAGTTATTGTATGTCGTGCTGTTACTCCTGTTTGCATAAATCCTCATGTGCCTTGATCTTAATGGTGGGGTGTACTCTATAAAGCATTTAGCTGCTTTTTATTGACTTCTAACAATATAGAGGCCTCATAAAAAAGATCTTACTTGTATGTCACGTCACATTTATGAAAAATGCATATATATAAAAGCCCTGTTATTGTTCCTTTCTATAAAATGTAATTCTCCTATTTGTATCATTACATTGTTGGACAAATAATATAAATTCCTCACATTCTTAAAATATCCTGTAAAACTTCATGCTTCACTTTCTGTGTGCTAGAGGATTATTTCTGGAAAACCTGTCAAAAACGTTTGGATGAGCGGATATTATAATTACAAATGAAGATTCTCTTTTGTCTTTGTGAAACAAAACAGAAAACATGACATATTATCAAAATGCCATATATTGAATATGAGATCTACATTCAAAATAAAATCTGCCCTGCTGTCATCTTGTGATTGGGATGCTTTTGTCTGTGCAGGCAGGTAAAAGTGAGAAGAAACCATCGAACATCAGCATCTCAAAGGAAGAAATTGCCCCAAAGACTGTGAGGTAAGTGGCGCTGAGGAACAGAGATACACTGAACAAAAATATAAACGCAACACTTTTGTTTTTGCTCCCATTTTTCATGAGATGAACTCAAAGATCTAAAACAATTTCTATATACACAAAATAACCATTTCTCTCAAATATTGTTCACAAATCTGAAGAAATCTGTGATAGTGAGCACTTCTCCTTTGCCGAGATAATCCATCCCACCTCACAGGTGTGGGGGGGGTCTGAAAACCAGTCAGTATCTGGTGTGAGGGGTAGGGTTAGGGTAATGTTGTGAATCGAGTGGCCTGTGTTTGTCGTCCATAACATACGCCTGCCCATACCATAACCCCACCATCACCATGGGCCACTCGATTCACAACATTACCCTAACCCTAACCCTACCCCTCACACCAGATACTGACTGGTTTTCTGACCCCCCCAGACCCCCCCCAATAAAGCAAAAATGCATGTTTCAGAGTGGCCTTTTATTGTGGCCATTCTAAGGAACACCTGTGCAATAATCATGCTGTCTAATCAGCATCTTGATATGCCACACCTGTGAGGTGGGATGGATTATCTCGGCAAATGAGAAGTGCTCACTATCACAGATTTCTTCAGATTTGTGAACAATATTTGAGAGAAATGGTTATTTTGTGTATATAGAAATTGTTTTTAGATCTTTGAGTTCATCTCATGAAAAATGGGCGCAAAAACAAAAGTGTTGCGTTTATATTTGTGTTCAGTGTATAAAAGACCCTGCAAAGGCTTGTTGATCTGATGAGCTAAAAACAGCAGTTATGATCTTCCTGAAAAACTACCAGATATGAAGCCTCATTCATATCAACATGGTTCAAATTGTAACTGTGTTAAAGTGAATAATTTAATTTACAAGCACATTAGATCTCAATAAGTATAAATGTACAGCATTGAAAAATCACCTATAACCTAAAATATATCATTGTAAGAGTTTTCCAAACGTTACTGAACAAGATCAGTTTAATTCTGTTACACTAACATTTTCCTTTCCCAGTAAAAACATTGTGAGACCATAGAGTTGAATTGTAAGCAGTTAGCATTCAGAACAAAGACACATAATCAGTATCCTGTTATCAATTCAAAATGAAACCTAAAATTGAACTGTTGAAGTCGTGTTTCCTCTGAATCATCTAAACTGATCCTCATGCATAGAGAATCTGCAGTAGGCCACAAACTCCATACGAGCAGGTTTGAGTCATCAGTACAGTGGCAACATTGTTGATTTGCATTTAGCTTCATAACAGGCAGAAGTCTGGAGGGAGTGATAAGAATAAAAGGAAAAGCAAGCACATAAGTTAAAGATGTACTTTTTGAAAGCCAGCTAATGGAGGACAGACACAAGGATAGGGCTCAGGAGTATAATGTAGGGTGGAATGTTATTATTGTGTGTTCAGTTGTAGGCATGTCAATTGAGAAGTCGGTTTTCTAGGCTTGTCAATTATTCAAGTATGCTTATCCTGGAGGGATGCATTTTTAACATGTCTGCTACTGCTTCTAACATGTCTGCTATTTGCGTTTCTTTTGTGATTTGCCTAATGTTTTGCTCAAATTCCTTCAATCCAAGATAGTTTCCTATGACAATGAAAGAAACCTTGACCACATCCTTGTAGTGTATCCACTTCTAATATTAGTCAATGAGATGATTCATTTGGGGATGCTGATGTCTGAACATTTAAAATGTGAATAACTTTTTGTATGCTGATCTTTTTCTGTGTGTTGTTTAAAGTCGTTATTGTTGTCTGTTCAACAGTGAGAAGACGGTTCAACATCTTTATGCTGAAGTCGGGCTGAGCCAACAGAAGTTTTCTCTGGGTGAACAGAGCATTAATACTTACACACAGCTGCTAAAGATAATGAGAGAGGGAAGTTTAATATGGAGATAAATAAATATAATGTGTGACCAATAATGCTTTTGTTTTCAGAGGGTAATTCCAGAATAGCAGATCATAAAGCAAATGCTTACAATGTGATGATGGTTGGAGACAGCAGCGTGGGAAAAACCTCCTTCATGAAAAGAGCTCAGAGTGGAAAGTTTTCTTTAGATTTACCCGCCTCAGTTGGTAAGATCTGATCTTCACACTACTTTAATAACATGAAAGTGTGTAAATATACATAATAATGTAACATATACACATTTTGTAGGACTTGATTCCTGCATGTGGACTGTGGTAGTGGAAGGAAAGCCTGTGGTGCTACAGCTGTGGGATACAGCGGGACAAGAAAGGTATGTTTTTCTTAACAGTACATTTCTGAGGCACTTGTACCAAGTAATCATAAATATGCACTCACTTTTAAATCGCAAAGAATACATGTTTCATAATAAATAATACATCTACTATAAGAAAATCATTGAGGTGTGGAATTGTTACCACTAACTACAGCCAGCATTAATAATACCTATACAGGTGCTTTGAGTCCCGTCAGTCTTTCCCTGTTAAGGTAGATGTGGTTGCATTCAGAAGCTGCTCTAAAAAAAGAAAACAATTTATTGGCTGGCATTTCCAAGCTTTCATAAATAGCAGTTTGAAGAAGAGATCAAAAAGAAGCAAGGGACTCAGTGTGTTTGTCACAAACCGTGACGTGGCTGGGAACACTCACTTGCAATATGCATGAGAATACATTTGAAGTATAACGTTTGTTGTTGGACAAACATATTTTGTCTAATGACGATGACCCTGGTCTAGCTGAGAGATGTCTGTGAGGAGTTATAATTTCCATGACCATATGATGAGGTACACTGTCAATTACATCCACCTTAACAATACATGTTTTATAATATATAACGCTTACAAGTTTAAATATATTGTAAATATTTCGATTTTACTGGACATTTGTATTCAAATGTAAAAGTGTAGGATCCCATGTTTCTCAAGCAATTGAAATTAATGGGCTATCGATTAAAACATGTTTTTATTGATTTCTACTATTCTCCTGAGACTATTCTTAATAGACTCAGGAGAATAGTAAAAAGGAATACATCATTTTTTTTCATAATGAAAGTAATTTTCTTTTATCAGTAGGCTTTTTTTGTCATGCCTAGGTATACGGAAAATTGTAGAGCTTTCACACGATACGCACAATTTGTGATGATGTTACTTCTGTCACCCTCACGAGGAGAGGGGACACTGCAGCGAGTATAAACCATACTTTACGAGCTCCTCCAGATGTCTGCTGCGGGTACGCACTGTATCTGCTCTTTGCTAGGAAAGCTAGACATCATTATCTGAGAGGGAGGCATCACTGTCAAAGGTGCAGAGTATAATTTTGTGGTTTATGACGGCCCAAATGTTGGAAAGTGTTGTCAGATACCTTGGCTGTAGGCCAAGACTTTTGATGAGCACTTGCTATTGTAGAGCAGGAACGGAAACTGTAAATCTAAGTTACCACAGGCAAAACCCGACAAGTCTCCCTCAGGCCAGGTTGTAACTTGTTTCTGAACTGGTTTCACACATTTCCGCAGTGTTTAGTTAGGAATTAGCTAAACAGGAATGGTGACTGTGATAAGGTTGTCTGGGAAAGAGATTGACTCTTGCATTGTGTGTTTCATTGAGGTAGTAGTTGTGCAACCACTGTCTTTCAAAGAAAAATGTGCAGAATGTTTTGAGGAATGTCTGAAAACTCAACTGACAAGTGTCATTAAACTGTCAGAGGCCCACTCCCAAACACTTTAGTCACAGATTGGTGTTGCTCGCTCTGAGTGGCCTAATTTAAAAAGGTGTCTGTGTCTGATTACATGCTTTCTGATTATAAAGGTTTCACAGCATCACGAGGCAGATTTTCCACAAAGCCCACGCATTTCTGTTGATGTATGACATCACTTCCTCTGAGACTTTTTCTGCAGTTAGCTACTGGGCAAACTGTATTCAGGTATGTTGTAATACTCGCTTTGTTCATAATGTTTCTTTTTTACAGATGTGGAAACGTTACATTTGTATTCAAGGCCAGGCATACTGTTAAGTTGTAATACTGCTCTCCTTTTTTTCACACTGATACTTTTCTTCACACTGATAAAAGTGTGAAGTATTTTTTAAAGACACTCACTTGAAGGCAGAATGTGTTGCCTTAACAAATATCAAAAGAAAGAAAAAATGTCACAAGTAGAAATCTGACCAGGTATTTGTTGCTACTACTAGAGCCGCATGACATAATTTTAATTTGATACCCAGTCTATAATTAAATCATTATCCGCTTATATATTATATAAATTCAAAATCTTAAATGTTGTCTTAAACTAGAAAATTACAAACATGGTGGATTCTGTATTTAAAACAGCAGCACATACTTACAGGAACAACAAACAATACCCACGTTGATGACATCCATGTTAGAAAAATGTCAAATATGCATGAACAATTCTTTGTCTTCCAATATTGATATTTGAAAATGGTTTTCATATCAGTATGTAGTTATTTATGTGAGAGCAAAGTAGTTAAAACTTGGTTTAGCAAAGATTATTTATTGGATGTATAGCAATAAAAGTCAGATTGGTAGTTTGTAGAGAGACTTTTAAGAGTTTAATTGAAATCCAAACAATAATAGATCCAATCTTTGTTATGCAGGAAGGGGCTGACGAAGACGTGAATATTTTACTTGTGGGCAATAAGAGTGATCGTGCAGAGCGGCAGATTAAAACTCAGGAGGCGGAGAATCTTGCTAAGGTTTGGATCTGTGGCATTACATCTTCATACACTTTTAGCTCAGATAAAAACAAAATACTGTGGTTGCTTTAATCATTAAACATTCACATTAAAACAGCAGGATTGCTTTCACAGGAATATAACTTTGAATTCATGGAGTGCAGCGCTGCCACAGGGGAAAATGTGGTTCAGGGTTTGGAAACTGTGGCCAGGTAACACATTTCACTTTCCCGTTTACCACACCTGTATTAAAAACATGTCCTTTAATGTTGATTGCCCTCCATGAAACTGATTGTGTTGTTGCTGACAGGATGTTGAGTCAAAAGCATGACACGAGAGAGGAAGCCATGGTGTTACACAAAGAGCCCCCGCAGAAAAAATCCTCAGGATGTTGCTGAACAAGATGTGCGTCTGCAGAGAGGAGGGATCCTGCACACAGTGGAAACTCTGGACTGGCTCTTTAGAGGGTTTTTCACAACTAAAACATATTTAATGATTTTTTCAGTTGTATTCCAAACTGTATTGATTTATATACATGTTGTGTTTCCTTTTCACAACTATCTTCAGCTGTTTTATTATGTCTACCAAGCCTTAAAGAGCCTGTGACAGCATCCCAACAACTGTTGTGCAATGAAATATTGGGCTACTAGTCATCTCGAACTGTCAGTTTAAAAAAGAAAAAGCGATACCGTTCCGATAAATATCAATAATTTCGAACATCGCGGGGAAATTCCTTCGACTCATTTTGAAGTTTTGGGGGAAACCGAAGTGACGTCAATGCGGGAACGCTTCACTGTGCGGCGAGAGAGCCAAACACGGACAAAGTGTGTTGTCATGCGTAGAAATGGTGAATTACTGAGTTTAGGCACGTTAATAACGTTATAATGAAGTTGACTACAGTATATTCATATTTGTCAGTGCTTTCATGTCAATTCGGTGAACATAAACATAAATGATTGTGGTGAAGATGATGATTAAATTAGGATTACAAATCGGTAGTGAGAGCTGCTGAATTTCCTCCCGTAGGATGTGATATAAAAACAAATCGATTATTTTTGTAGTTGTAAACTCAAGTGGATTAAACTACATTTATTAGTGCTTTCATGTCAATTCGGCGAACATATGATAGGCCTACATTAAATGATCGTGAGGATGATGATTAAAAATCGTTTGTTTGAGCCGGTCTGCATTTCCTGATGAGAAAACAAACCGATGCTTTTTGTAGTTGTAGTACACCAACATGTATTAAACGTGTTGTTTTTTTACCACAATGTTGGGGAAATGAATGGATAAAATGCACGGATTATTATTATTATTATTATTCCCACTCCAATCGGGACACTAGGTCCACCGTTTCCCCGCAGCGAGGCTCCCCCTATTGACAGTTTACGTGGGCTGGGTGCAGTGGCGGACTGGCCATCGGGACGAATCCCGATGGGCCGTTGTTTGTTTGTAGATGTATGTGCATTAATAAACAAGGCAAGTCAGGCTGTGTCTCAACGCCGTGTATTCACACTGAGCAGGCAATCATACAACGGAGGTATATTACGTGAGGCAGATATATAACACAGGCACAATACGTCCACAGGGTGGAGCTGCAACCTAGCCTAAACCACCCTGTAACATTGTTGTGCCATAGATTGAAGCAATAGGCGCATTCACACTGCGGTACTTTTCCCACAAAGGTTCATGTGAACTTAGTTCATGTGAACTCTTTTATCGCGTTCACACCAAAAAGAGCCGGTACTAAAATTAGTTCATGTGAACCTTTTTACCCCCCCCCCCTTGAAAGTCCCGGCTCTTTTGTGAGAAAATAGCTAAATTTATGATTGGCTGGAAGGATTGCAAACCACGCCCCGCAAAACTCCCAAAAAGTGTTGTGAAGCCGCCATTTTATTATCCTCGCATTAGCATTATTAGCATTAGCATTAGCCCAGCGCAGAAACGCAGAGAGACTAACTTATGGCAACACAAAATAAAACATGGGAGTGGTGGAGATGAGGAGGTGTCGGCGTTCTGGCGATTTACTCGGAAGGCTTCAGTAGAAGCTGCTGGGAGTCCCAGCAGCTTCTACTGAAGCAAGTCCCTAACTCCGGGGACTTCCGGCCGGGGACTTTGGGCGGCAGTATACGCCGTGAAGTGGTTTGCGGCCTGCCAGTAAACCCAAAGCAGAAGAAGAACAAGTGACGTCAGCGGCTTCATTTGCCTAATCCACCCAATAGAGTCTGGCTGCAGACCGTAGCAAGGAGGCGGATCGTATAGGGGCGTTTCCTAAAGGGTTATGAACCCCGCCCCCACGTATTTCTTAAAGGTATAGGACGCTCTCTGCTTCTCATTTATTTTAATGCTTTGAATGAATCATAAACGAACGTTGAAAAATAATAATTATAATCAATTTGCATAAAGAATGAAGAGTATACAACCCACAGAGAAGACAAATTCATAAATTGTAGGCATATCATTTTTCACTGTTTGTGCAGTGGTAGTAATTATTATTCAAATCAATCAACTACGTTTTATGGAAGATATTGCTGTATATCATTTAACAACATGAGTAGAGGTTTCTGTACACCTAAAATACTGAAGTTTAAGTTACTGTCCTGATGTGTATCATTCATTTGTTCATGTTGTGTCTGGTGGTAAGATTAATAAAAAAATAAAAAATATATACAGTACATACAAAGAGGAAAGTCTTTATTAAACAAACATTTTATTCTTGGAAGGTGCCTCCAGCATCATAGAAACAGTCAATGCTGCAGAATCCTGCCAGCTCATCTTTTCTGATGATACCATAACTAATGTTACATAATTATAGAAGACCAGTGGCGGCGGGTCATTAGGGGCAGGTGGGGCACAGCCCCACCTAGTGTCAGAAGAAAGTATTACAAATAATGATTACAAAAAAATACTAAAAAATAAATAAAAAAACATATAAAATATATTTTAAGGTCATGTTTAATAATCTGATTCGTCTGTACATTTCTGTTTTAGTCTGTGTTCTTCTAATTAGTGTCTAGAATGCCGTTTTGAGCTGTTTAGAGCCATGTGGGACAAAACCCGATCCTGCCCCTCCCTCTCACAGTCTAAGTGAACGGTGATTGTAAAAACTACACTGCGCATGCTCAGAGTATTTTTCTATTTAATGTGTGTGGCAAAAAAATAATGACCGTAGGGCAGGGGTGCCCAACCTTTTTTGAACCGAGAGCTACTTTTAAAGTTGCCAGTCTGCCGAGATCTACCAGTCCAAATAGAGAGGCGTAGCCATTACTGACAGCCAGGTACCAGGTAAATACACACTTCTACTTGTATAAAACTGACCTTTGTACGATTAATACTTCATAAAATACTGCAGATCCTTTATCTTACCTCTTTCTAGTCTACACACATACAAGTATCTAACTGAAGTTACACAACAGTGTTGTTGATACAGAGTTGGAGTTTATTCACACGTCACTTACTACAGTGGGTAATGTATTCAAGAAACATTGAACAGTGCTGCCACATATGACACAGGGAAAAAAGAAAAGACTCTGAACCCTTTCTTTGCCATTATATAAAAATAGTGTTGCTACAAAAGTATAAATTAGGCTTACTAATAAGACAACTCAGATCTGAAGCTACACAGGAATCTGCTGCCAAAGTGCAATAAAAAAGACAAAATTAATAGAATCAAACCCTTTTTTTGTTGAATTTTAGTAGAGTATAAAAATAAATGCCTTTAAAATAGGATGCAAGCAACACTAGTTTCTTAACCTGAATTGATATAATCAATTTAAGTTTGCATTCTTATACCATTTTGTACAATAATTATAATGAATAAGTTCAAACAAACTAAAACTCACAGCTGATTAATAACGGTATCCAACTTGAGTTTTTATTATATCAAAAACCTGTTGAAATGCTACTGTTATTTTTACTGTCCCCAAAAAGCACGTCGGCAGCCTCCATGAATGCTTCTTTCACAACTTCGCCGTCTTTGAAATACTTCATGTGTTTCGCAAGAACGTGACAGACACGATAAGATTCTATGGTAGCAGCCTTGCTCTTGTTGTTGGGCCTGGTGAAAATTGACTGCATTAGCTGTCCTTTCAAGCCCCTCCCCTTTTGGAGCGTAGGGCAGAATTAAGAGAGAATTCCGTCTCGTAGCGTTTGTGCACTGTTTGGAAATGTCGCTCCTAAATTACCCTTCTTCGATAAAGCCACGCTCGCATTGCAAATGAGACAGATGGACTTTGAATTGGAATAGATACAAAAATAATCATCCTCCCACTCGGAGTGAAAATTATATATTTTGGGCTTTTTTGCTTCTGCCATAATTACGGTCTTGTGTGTGCGCGCCGGACTGTCAGCGAAATAATGCCCACTGCCCACCAGCCACGCCCCCACACATGGGGTCACGCCGGCCAATCACAAAGCTTTGGTGCGTTCAAGTGCATTATTCTGGCACGGGAAGATTATGTTATAAGACATTAACGATAAAACAGAATATTGTTGTTCTATTTTTAGACACATCTCGCGATCGACTGGGAATCTCCCCGCGATCGACCGGTCGATCGCGATCGACTGGTTGGGCACCCCTGCCGTAGGGGCATAGTGCTCCCATCCCCACCATACGTCATCTCACATAATTCAGAATTGATTGGCTGTAAGTACTCACGTGTGCAGTGCTGCGAAACGTCACGTGTAGTTTGAAGAGGAGACGAGAGAGCAGCATATAGCTAACATCACCAGCGATTAAAAGAAGTAAAAAACTGAAAGAAAATGAATGAAGTTGACCATTTACTGGAGCACACATTTGAGACACTTAGTCTCGGAGAGAAACTGGAGGTAAAGCGCCTCGGTGCCCACCATCCACCGGATTTCCAAATGGTCCAGACTGCGGGCAAAGTTAAACGTGGGTTTAACGCTGAGTGGTTTGCTAAAAAGAAATGGCTAACGGCGAGCATCCAGAAGAATTCCCTCTTTTGCTTTCCTTGCCTGCTTTTTGGTGAAGATCAAGGTACTTGGTCGAGGACAGGTTACAAGGACTTAAAGCATCTTTCGGAGAGGACAATGAAGCATGAGAGCAGCAACAGTCATTTGGAAAATGCCGTAAAATTGGGATTACTTGGAAGGGTGAATGTTGCAGCTCAGATTGACAGCGCCTACAGACGCGGCATTGATTCTCATAATAGGAAGGTGGAAGAAAACAGGTACGTGCTTGGTCGGATCATCACCTGTATTAAACTGTGTGGGAAATGTGAGACAGCACTGCGGGGCCACAACGAGTCGGCGGACTCTCTGAATCCAGGGATATTCAGGTCAATTTTCGAGACAATGTGTGAGGACGATTCCAGGCTTCAACGGCACTACGAAGCTCAGCTTGTTTTCAAAGGGACATCAAGCACCATACAGAATGAACTCTTGGACTGCATGTATGATGTGTACAGGGAGGAAATAGCCAAGCAAGTGGACAACACATCATTTGTTGCCGTTCAGGCCGACGAGACAACCGATGTCTCCTGTAAATCGCAAATGGTGATTGTGCTGCGATACATTATGCCTGACCTCACAGTTACAGAGCGTTTTTTGGAGTTTGTGGAAGTAAAGGACAAAACTGGTGTAGGTCTCTCTAACAGCATCAAGGCTGTTCTGGAACCCCTGAAGCTGAAAGAAAAGCTAATCGCTCAGACCTATGACGGGGCGGCCGTCATGAGCGGTAACGTGCGCGGGGTACAGACGGTGATGAAGGAGACGTACCCAAACGCTCAGTTTGTTCACTGCTACGCCCACCAACTGAACCTGACCC